TGTGTTCCTATTGGCTGACATTTTAATTTTTCTTTTAACAGAAACCATCCTGTTGCAGGATTTGAATGCAAAACATATTTATCTTCTAACTCTAAAGATGAATGATCAAGGAGAGATTTATTTCACCCTGAGGTTATTGCAGTTTCCTTCAGAGTCACAATAGATTAAGGCCTGATGATACTCAAAGGCCTGAGAAAACTAATGACAGAGGTATATGTTTTAAGCATCTAAATTCACCTGTTTCTTATGGATTGTCAAACTTTTGACATTTGAAAAGAGATTCCCATCTGTACTTCTGGTTCTTGACTGGTAATAAGAAACTATAATGAAGTAGAGTAGTAAAAGTTTTTAAGTTGTTAGAATGTAGAAATGAATGAATTCTTTTAAACTTAAGAAGTTGGTAGAATGTTTTTATTTAAATCTGGTCAAGAAGAATTTGTGAGGTCTTGAAAATAAAGGAGAGACTAGAGTCTGAAGAAAATATGACATTTCCTAGAGAAATCAAAGTATCAGAGAATGTGTAAGAAATGAAAAATAAATGTTAAAAACATTTTTATTCAGATAGAAGATATTTTACGTGTCTTAAGTATTTACCAAATCTTAATAGCAATGACACAGTAACAATGTTTGAATCAAAAGGGGCATTTTAACTTTTCTATGCTCTCGCTCCCTTCAAATATGGTCATTGTTCAACTCTACATTGAGAATAACTTTTACTACTTTAACTTAGAGATAATCAGAGATACAACTTCAGACACTGAGGATCTCAAAAGCAAAAGGATGAATATAGTATTGTTTAGAGAAAAATGGAATTGATGAAAAGATAGAAAAGTTGCTTTCTGGAAACTCCCTCAAGGATGGTGGACCCATCCACATTTGCAGCTTCAGAATATCCACTATTGGCTGTAATTTCTTAGCATTATTGACTGCTTTTTCCTTTCTCTTCATGATTAGTTGTGATCACAGGAAGGAGCACACATGTCAGCTTAGATTTTGCTAATGTTTTGTGTCTACTGTCATGGGTGATTTTATGTGGGATGGACTTTTTAATTCCTATAGAACTATTCCTTTGTGTGGGATTTCTACAATGTGTGCATGTGATTTCTAGATTACAAATTTAAATAAACTTGTATGATATATTTTTTGTTAAAGTTTTAGAGAAGATTGTCTCTTTGTTTCAAATGGTTTCCCAGATCAAGTTTAGTAGTAAGCCAAGCTCTTCCCCTGGTGATTATTTTCCTTCTTTTTGCATTTAAAGAATTTTCAGTGCCCTGGTGTCTCATTGCAGTGACTCTTGGGATCCTCTGTTAACTTCTTCTGATGATGGTCACAATGTTGGTGACAAAGAGAGAGTAATAAAATGCACTTTCCTGTCTGAGTAGCATCAGTAATCACTGATTGTGCAGATATTAACCATGCTTCATCCATTGTTCCCCGTCTGTAATCAGAAAATGTTCCAGGTGACTTTGGCTTTTGTTGGTAATTTTTTTCTGGACACATCACAGTGTCATTTTTAACTTACTTAACCTTGACTCTGATGTTGTGGTGAGCTGTTTTACCGTGTATACATGGTAATAGTCCTTCTCATAGAGGATTTAGCAATACATGTATTCTGCCATTTGGGCTTGATTATTATGAATCTGAGATAACCATTCTTTGAGAGACAAGTTCAAAAGAAATTATGGTTTTCTCTTGACATTTCTCAAAGTATATAATGAGGAAATGGTTTAGTAGCATCTACACGTGCTATTACATAATATTAAATTCAAGCTTTATCTTTTGTTTGAATTCTTTCATATCTTTAGAAAAATCACTGATATTTTACATTCAGAAAAAAATACATATCTGGATCTTACTCTCTTTTCTGCTGTGGAAATTCCATCTGCTCCAATAATAATTGTGCTATCTCTTCTTGTTTCTTAGTTCAGATTTTCATATGCCGAAGACATGGAGTTAGATGTTGGCAAACTGATTTTTACATTGTTGCTTGTTTGTAAATGATGTGCTATTAAAAATGAACTAAATTGAAAACTAAGGTGTCACCTTCATAATTTTATTCAGATATTTTATTTATCCTACACTTAAGCTGCTAATGTTGAGAAATTTATGTTTCTATTTTTATGGTCAGTTCATTGAGGTGTTACTTTCTAAATGTCAAATTATTAATTAAAGTAAATTAAATTGTAAACAATATTGTATAGTCTATTTTAAAATAAATAAAAGAGAGAATGAGACCAACAAACATATGAAAAAATGCTTATCATCACTGGTATATTGTTAATCACTGGTATATGTTAATTTTGATGTCTTCACCACAAAGAAATGATAAATGTTTGAGATGTAGATAAATGTAGATGGATAAGCTAATTAACCTGATTCCTGATTTGATCATTACACAATGTATACATGTATTGAAACATCACACTGTACCCCATAAATGCGTACAATTATTATGTGTCAATAAAAATAAAATAAAACTAAAAATCTTTACACAACAGTGTGAAATGCTATTTCACAGGGATGCTGGACTGTTGCCAAAGCTGTTTCTGGTAGTATAATCAGACAAGCCAAAGAAGAGTTCGAGGGTATTTACTGGTCAATGTCAGTGGATCTTACTGCTAGTTTCTAGTTTCTCAAAATTAGAATCTCTGGAAGTGAGATTCATCAGGCTGTGGTTTCCAGGTGAATCAAACATCAGATTCACCTGAAAAACCACAGCCTAATGAGTCTCACTTCCAGAGATTCTAGTTCAGTAGTGTAGCGGGTTGAATTATGTCCACCAAAAGGTAGGCTCTAGTCCTCATCCCCAAGAATATGAACATGACCTTATTTGTGACCTCCTTTGGGATAAAGCATCTTTGCATATGTAATTAAGGTAAAGATCTTAAGATAGTACTAGATTATGGTGGGCCATAAGGTGGACTTAAATCTAATGATGGATGTTCTTTTAAGAGACAGGAAAAGACACAGAGACACAGAGGGGAATGCTATGTGAAGACAGAGGCAGGGATTGTAGTTACACATCTATAAACCAAGGAAGTCCAAGAGCATGGCAGTGGCATTGGAAGGGTCATCTCATGATGAAGGCGTTACGTGGAGAGACAGCAAGAAGAAGAGCTTGTTTTTACAACAGAGTCACTCCCGGGATAACTCTCTCACTCTCAGAAAGGAATTAATCCATTCTTAAGAGTGGAGTCCTCACGACTTAATCAACTCTTCAAGGTCTCACTTCCCAGTGCTGACACAGTGGCTATTAAATTCTGACATGAGTTTTGGAAGGAACATTCAAACCAAAGCCCTCCAATGGTAACATCTTGTAAAATTATAATGTAATATCATGACTCAGTTATTGACATTGATACAAATACAGAGTGACTCTACCACAAGGCTCCCTATTATCGCCCTTTTATAGCCACACCTGCTTCCTTTCCTCCATTCCTTGTTCCCAACTCCTCTGATTCTATAATTTTATCATTTCAAGACTGTTAAATAAATGAAATCATGCAGTCTGTGACCTCAACGTAATTTCCTGAAAATTTATACAAGTCTTTGTAGGTATCAACAGTTAGTTCTTTTTATTGCCGAGTAGGTATGGATGCATGACAGTTTGATTAACCATTTACCTACTGAGAAATATTTTGATTGTTTCCAGGGTTTTTTGTTTTTCTCTATTGCAAATAAAGCTGCTATGAACAGAGATAGAGATTTTTGTGTGAACATAACGTGTTTCATTTCTCTGAGATAAATGCCCGAGAATCCAATTACTGAGTCCTGTGGTAGTCATGTTTAGGTTTACAAAATATTGCCAAACTGTTTTCCAAAGAGGCTGTAACATTTTATATACCCATGAGTAATTCATTTTCTTTGCATACTGGACATCATTTGGTGTTGTCATTATTTTTAAATTTTATTCCTCTGATATGTATATGGTGATGTCACTAGTATTTTTTAAATAGTAGACTATATTTTTGAGCCATTTTAGTTTTACAGAAAATTTGAGTGAAAAGTACAGAGAGTTTCCATATACTCCCTCACCTCCTCCCAGTTTCTCCTATTAATATGTATCATTAGTGTGGTATACTTATTATAACTGATGATCTAATATTAATTTTTTCATGGTTTATATTAGTTTCACTCTTTGAATTTCACATTCTATGGGTTTTGACAAATGTGTGACATATGTCTACCATTACAGTGTTGTAAAGAATAGGTTTTTGACCTAAAAATCTCCTATGCTTCATCTACTCCTCTACCTCTTCCTCTCTCTGAGGCCCTGGCAAACACTGATTTTTTTTTTTTTTTACCATCTCCATAGTTTTGCCTTTTCGAGAATGTCATATAGTTGGAATCATACCTTATATAGAATTTTCAGATTGGCTTCTTTTACTTAGTAGTACGCATTTAAGTTTTCTTGATGCCCCTATAACTTGATACTTTTTTGTTTTTAACTGAATAATGTTTCATTGTCAGGAAGTACCACGACAGTTGATCACACCTGGAGAAGGACTCTTGGTTGCTTCCAAGCTTTGGCAATTATAAAGCTTCTATAAACATTCACATGCAGGTTTTTTGTACATTTAAACTTTCGGCTCATTTAAATAAATACCGAAGAGTATAGTTGCTGGTTCATATTTTATGTTTAGTTTTTTTAGGAGCTGCAAACTCTCTTTGAGAGGTTGTACTATTTTGCATTTCCACAGTCACGAATGAGAATGGAGCTGTTGCTCTACATCCTTGTCAGCATTTGGGTTGTCGGTATTTTAAGTTTTTACCATGCTAGTGGGTGTGTAGTGGTCTCTCATTCTTTTAATTTGCAATATCCTAATGGTATATGATGTTTAATGTCTCTTCATATGCTTATTTGCTATCTGTGAGGTGTCTCTCTATACCTGTTTATACTAGCTTTATAAGAGAAAAGAAATCCAGAAACAACCAAAATGTTCCTCAATAGGTCATCTTTTTCCCATTAAAAAAGTAGTTTGCTTATTTTCCTACTGTTGAGTTTTAAGAGTTCTATGTATATTTTTGGTACCAGTCCTTTATCAGCTATGTGTTTTGCAAATATTTTCTTCCAATCTGTGGCTTGTCTTTTACATTCTGTTAATTTATTTAGAATTTTTGCCATAATCTTTCCCCTACTTGGCAAATAAAATTTCTTGTAATTTATCCAATGTATACACATTGGCATTTTCCTTATTTGGACATTAAAATCATATCAAATTTCACATGGCATTTTTCTGCCACAATGTTGGGAATATTCAAACCCATCTGAGACTTTTTAATGATACTAATAGGGATATGGTACTTATGGAGATCATTATAACAATCCTATGGCATAATATCATTATCCACACTTTATAGATGAGGAAACTGAGGCTAGATTATTCGATTAACAGTAAAAGATGGTGTTTAAACCACGGCTGGCTGACTCTGCTCTGACAATAATATTAATATGTCTCTGATCTTTATCTTTAGCTCAGGTATCTTCCATTATCTTACTAGACTGAGAATAAGGGATATTTTCCCAGGTACAAAGGCAGATATATATGTTATAGGCATTTGAAAATGGCAGGTGCCATGCTTTCATGCAAGCTATTATGGTAGTTATTTAAAAGAGGTCTTTCAGTCTTTTACAACAGTAATAAGACTGAATGGAGACACAAATTAAACTCGATAAAATAAAAAAGGTTGAGCCTGAAACTGAGTTTATCCTTAATGGTAAATGTTGACTCATGATGCAAAGAAAAGAACATTGGAAATGAATAATGTGGAATAGGGTTTTCAGGGGTTTTTTTTCTTTGATTTTATCTACCTATCTTTGTCAAAAATCTCAAAGTAGAATCTATTTTTTTACACAAAATTCCAGAAGATAATTCAGTTTTAGAAGTGATCGTTGCGTGTTTTGAATTCTCTGTGCCAGATGCTGCTTGTTTCACCCATTACGTGCTCTCGTTGTGTTTCATTTGGCCTGATGTGCTTTATACCTCCCATTTCTACGGCTAAAATTTTTCTGTCAAGAATCAGTGAAGTGGCATACGCTTGAACAGTTAGTTTCTCATGCTTCATCCGACCCAGATTTACTCCCCTTTTTCCTGCTCTGTGAAACTCTCTGTCTTTTATTATGTCACTTTGGATTACATTAAGTAAATGTGTGTCATTTGTATTGCACTGAAAAAATATTTTTTCATACACTCGTTCACAATCTGTATAAATTTTAAACAGTTTATTTCCTCACTTAGTAGTTTGCCTTTTGTCATTAAAGTGAAAATAATATGAAGCCCATTAGGTCCAGATATCTTAAAAGAGAAGTGAACATTTAAAAAGAAGACTCTTTTTAATGGAATATGGAGAAAGCTATCTTTCATTGGCGAAAAGTGTAAGCAGAGATGTGGCAACTCTAAGACTTCATTGGAAAAATCTCTCAGAGCAATTATTATGATAAAACCATCAGAGGAAACAAGGATCTAAATGGTATTTGCTTAAATGTCAAATATCCAAGATGTACTTCAAAGCTAAAAAATAAGGAAATATTTAGAATTTACTTTTATTCAGGAATTATTTATTAAGCAAGTACTATGTATAGAAAGCTGTGCTAAGTATTGGAATTCAAAATGGGTATGACATAGTCCCTGCCTAAAACCTAGGCTAATTGGCAAAGGGATCATTAACTAAAAAATATGTATCCATGACAGCAAGTAAATTATTGATAAGGAATGACTGTTTTAATTATGGAGCAGTTCCGAATATACATAACATACACTAATACAGGATGGCCGTAAAGTTGGGAAATAAAGATAACACTTAGTTTTACAGATCAACCCACTTGATGGCTTCTTCCAGAAGATGCTAAAGTAGGTTAATATTGTAAAAATCAGAGACAAAAATCACGGGAGGCAAGACATCACAGAAGCATGTGCAAGCATTGATGGAAATGTTGCATTAACGTCCCATGTTGATCTCCATTATGCATGACACATTGCTAATGAGGAACAACACGTTGAACATATGTAATATCATCATAACTCAGAGTGATAGGCATAAATCACCATTATAAAGCTTTTCTGTGTTTCCAGACTTGGTGATCATGTTGCATATATAATATATATCTTATAATATAATTTAAATATTTTGAATGTTTTCCTTTTTTTGAAAGTTGTGCCATTTTCTTCCAAATATTTTTGCAAAGCAAAACATAAGAGCATTGACATTCATAGAAATTACAATTTTCAGGGTTCAAAATCTTTTCTCTGGCTAAGAGATAATTTTTCTATTTCTCATTCTCCCATAGTTTGAATTGGTAATTTTTTATAGCAGCGTTTTTTGTTATTTTCTTCTTTGACTCTACCCGTCACATTGTGGGAGGTGCTGTCAGAACATTCTTGCCTCCTTTTGCTTCTGGCTTGGATTTCCTGTCATCACACAAACGTCAAGGAAAGATAAGATCTCTATATGGAAACCACATGTAAGTAAAGTGATTACACAGACTCTTAGCTAACTTGTTCACAGTTTTGACTAGATTATTTCTCATTTCACTCCCTTTTCTTTCCTCTCTTCCCTTTTTTCTTCTCTCCTTTGCTTTTTCCATCGTTTGTTGTCTAGTTATTTGTGGTATAATTTTTTTTCTCTCCATTTATCAGTTAAGAATATTTATTTCACAGGTACTTGTTTTTAGCTTTATTCCCTAGGTGAAGAGTGGGAATATAAATATCTATGAGAATTCTTACCAGAATAGAAACTGTCAGAATGCCACTGAAATGTCAGGATCTCCTATTGTGCCGCTGACAATATTTGCAGTTGTTCTGGACATGGGATATTTTCTTCCTGTTGGGCGTTTATCAGGGAAAGTGAGTGACTCCCAACTCTATTTCTGACCAAATTGTTTGTGGAGCTTTCAGGTAAAGGACAAAAGTGTCATCAGCTTTTGTTTCTAGGTATTTTGTTAATACCTTTAATTCTATTTGATGGCAATTGGTATTTGAAATTCAGAGAGAGTAAATTGAGAACACTAAAACATTAGGAAAGGGGAGTGAATTCCCTGGATTAGAATATTGCCAAGTTGAAGCAAGTTAAATTAAAAGGAGATCACTGATGGCTCACATCTGTAATCCCAGCACTTTGAGAGGCCAAAGCGGGTGGATCACCTGAAGTCAGGAGTTCAAGCCCAGCCTGACTAACATGGTGAAACCCTGTCTCTGCTAAAAATACAAAAATTAGCCAGGCATGGTGGCATGAGCCTGTAATCCTAGCTACTCAGGAAGCTGAGATAGGAGAATTGCTTGAACCTGGGAGGTAGAGGTTGCAATGAGCCAAGATTGTGCTACTGCACTCCAGCTTGGGCAACAGGACAAAACCCCGGCCAAAAAAAAAAAAAAAAGAAAAAAAAAATCAGGTCATTGGATGAAAGAATTTATGTTCTGGTAAAGGAATTTATGATCTGGGTCTTCTAAGACTTTTTTCTCTTGGAACTGAATAAAGTTAATTACACAGACTAAGAAAATAGAGAATATGTAAGTTTATCTTTCCCTTTCTTTAGAAATAATAGTACTTCTGTTGAACATTTTGTATCACCTTTATTCTTAGCATATAAACTATAATAATCTAGACAGAGTTTTTTTATTATCTGGATATATACAGACAAACTATTATGAGTTTTTTCTTTATAAGTTGAAATTTTTTAAAAATAAACTTTGTATTTTCATTTAGAGACAAAGCCATTCAAGTAAATCAAATTGGTCTTTTTAGATGCCTTGATACAGAATTAATTGCTCCTTTTTCTTAGTCTTCCTTGTTTATAATTGTTTCCCTTAACAGAACATTTATTTGTTCCTTTATTCATTTGTCCAACAGTTGTTTATTCAACTCTTTCTATGTGCAAGGTATTATACTTAGTACTGAAATTATAAAGGTAAATAAATCACGGATCTTTCCCTCAGAACAGCAATACGGACAAATAATTGAAATGCAATGCCAAGACATATGTCATTGGGACAATTAAGGTGTTCAAAGAACTCACAGTATGTTATCAAGGAAGTCTTTTTAAAGCATTGCATCCAGTTGACTTTAGAGGAAGAGTATGCAATTTGCCAGTTGGATAAAAAGGAAAATAATATTTTATTCCACTTGATCATAGTCCAAATGCATAACTTACCATGGACTATTAGCTCTTCTGGAAGATAGGATATGGGGCCCTCTGGGAGGAGTTATGGATGGGGATAACCAGCACAGTGTTTAGCTGGAGTAGGCCAAAAAAGAAAAGAAAAAAAAAAAAAAGGTTTAAATAATAGACGTAAGAATGAATACTGTATAGGAATTTAAAAATATACAAATATTTCTGCTCAGGGCCAAACTATTCTTCTTTTCTTCTTTGGTGCAGGTTCCAGAAACTCACCTGTCTTTCCTTTTCCATTTAAAGTCATTACTGCCTATGGTACTTTTTGATATTACCATTAACCCTGACACACACCTCAGGTGAACTTTTTCTAAGTCTGTTGTTTCCTTTTCCTCAAAGGCAATTGCTCAAGTTCCTTTTCTTAAAAGTATTTTTATATTTTTAATTATTTTTTACGGATAATTGCTGCAGGTAAACTAGCAGAGGATCAAAATATCACCAAAAATATAGTATACTGTTTTTCTTTATCCACTATGTACTATGGAATATAGTATATTATCCCCTTTCTGGGAAAGAGCCCTCTTGGATCTCTGACTTTCATATATATTTTGGAGTATGAATAATAGGCCCTCAAAAAATGTGTTGGTGTCTGGTTAAATCTTGCGTAACCATTAGCCTCAAGTAGCAGAGACTGCTGGCCAATCCATAAATCATTCCATATCTCCTGCCATTCTCACAAGTTACTCACTTTCCCAGCATCCTTGCAGCTAGAGTGTTCATATGACCCATCTCTGGCCATCAAACTAAGGGCAAAGCTGACTAGAGGACTTCTGGAGTGGCTTGCTTTGCCTCTATTCTCTTCTTACCTTGAAGGCTGATCTGGGGGTATGGAAGCTATGTGTAGCCACAACGTTGTCCACATGCCCGAGGGCAGAAGATTAGAAGGATTTAGAAAGCCAGTTGCATTGATAATGCTGTTGAGCTGCTAACTGGCCCTCAGTCTCTTGCCCTGGAGACTTTTTATTACATGTGTCCAAATACATAAGATCCACCTACCCGTGACTGTTAGAGATTTCAATGGGCTCCTTATCACACACAAAAGAGTGCTCACACTGAATTAAAAGTATATGCATACAAAGATTATCTGACAAATAGAAATGGACTTGTAGGAAAAACAGAATGAATAAATCAGAATAATTCTAGATTCATTATTGCTGTAGCTATAAATTGTGTTCTTACAATCTGGTGTTACAGTATGCAAATGGTGCCATACTACAAAACAAGGTGATTTAAGATGAAAAACAAACAAAACCAAACCAAACGAAACAGGAAAGCTTAAGATTTGTGGTTTAAAAATTAACAGGGTCTTAAATCTCTCAGGAAGCCAGAGCTGCAGCTTCTCATCTTGCCCTTTGCCTGACAGCTCTGCTTTTGTGTATTCTGACCTGTCATTTTAATTTTCTTCTGATCATAGCAGGAGGAGAGCCTCTTTGAATGATACTATCTTACAGTTTTGTCTCTTTCAAATCAAACTCTTTTTCCACCCATCACTGATGCAACAGCACCCTCAACCCTATGGAAGACCACAAATGCTGTAAAACTCCAATATACGCTTTACGTAGGAAGGCCAGTAAAAAAATGCTTGTAAATGAAGAAAACCTACTCAAATATAATTTTTATTAGCAACGACTTCCATTATGTTGTATGAGATGTATGAATTATAATGATTGTCAAACTCTGTAAACTATCTGGAGATATTGATTTCAAACCAAATATGAGTGACTGATGGCCCAGGACATGGCCCTCAGGAGATCCTGAGAACATGTGTCCAAGGTGGCTGGGTTACAGTTTGGTTTGATACATTTCAAGGAGATATAAGACATCAATAACTATATGTAAGATGTACATTAGTTTGGTCCAGAAAGGTGGGACAGCTGGAAGCAGGGGCTTTCAGGTCATAGGCAGATTCAGAGATTTTCTGATTGGCAATTGGTTGAAAGAGTTATTATCTAAAGACCTGGAATCAAAAAAAGAAATGTTTTTGGGTTAAGATAGGGGTGTGGAGACCAAGGTTTTATCATGCAGATGAAGCCTCCAGGTAACAGGCCTCAGAGAGAACAGGCTGTAAATGTTTCTTATGGGACTGAAAGCGTCTGTTCCATCAGAAGTTCCAAAAGGGAGGAGGGTATAATGAGGCATGTCTGACTCCTCCTTCCCATCATGGCCTCAACTAGTTTTTCAGGCTAACTTTGAAATGCTCTTGTCTGAGAGGAGAGGTCCATTCAGATGGTTGGGAGGAGCTTAGAATTTTATTTTTGGTTTACATCTTGAATGATTATGGAGAAAGCTCTTCTTTCCCCGTATTTTATCTTGTAATGTTTCTCTACTCTCCAGAAATGACAGAGGAGAATGTTTACAGAGGTGAAATCTCATGACAAAAGAAAAAATACAATCTAGAACTACTGGCAGTAAATATAATTATGATAAGCACCTATCCTCAATCTTAAATTTTGAGTAGGATCTTATATCCAACAATTCAAAGAGTTTGTGAATGTCTTTTTACAACTTCCCTGCCAAGTACTTGTCTTTCTGGTCAAATACCTCCAAGGAAATGCAACTATTTCTTCCCAAGGTAGCAGTCATGGACTTTAACTGCTCCTAGACTATTTTTCTTTATCCTAAATCAAAATATTCTTTCTGCATTTGATATACATAAGTTTATAAGCCTTTTATTTATAAACTTGTATATAAATAATAAAAGGCTTACTTATAGGCCTTTTAATAGCAAAGATGTAATCTCTTTTAAGTGACATCCCTAATGACTTCTGAGGCTGAGCCCAACAGCTCAGAGCAATACTTCATCATCTCTTCCTGGATATATAAATTAATTACAGTGCAGAAAATGCAGGAGAGATTGTTTTGTTTCATTTCTAACAGAGTCAATGTATGTTTGCAATGTAAGACTCTTTTGTCATTTAAGGAAATAATATGAATGTCAGGCAGTTGTGTATAATGCATTATACAGGGATGTTTAGGCCCTGATCACCATTCTTCTAACTCTCTTTTAGTTCTTTTTAAACTATGCTTCTCAGTAATCCAAGTGAATACTTAATGCTGGGCCTTATTTGCTCTATCAACATATGGCCGTGCCAGTGGAAGAACTGAAGGAAACTTTCTCGTCTCTTGTGACTTTGGCAAGTTTCAGGACATGCCTGGCATATAAAAGTCTGATTTGTAATTATCTTTGCTCTTGCAGTTGCAAAAAAAAAAAATCAAAGAAAATAAAAACGCATGCTATAATTTGGAGTGAGTGATCTTAGGAAGGTGGGCTTAGGACAAATGTGAGTCATATCAATCCACTCTAGTGATTTATTAAATGTTAAAATTCTGCACATTAGCCTTTAAATCTCAATGTAGAAAGTCATTATTTGCACGCGGAAATGTGTGTGTGCATGCACACAGATACACCCATTAAACAACTCAAGGCAGAGACTGTAGCATGTGTGTTGCATATTTTGATGAAAAGATTTTCTTACATTCATCTTTTTCAGTGTCTTTTATTGGGCACTGTTCCACATTATGCTGTTGCCATCCTCAATAATTTTGTGCCTCTGTAATTTGGTTTTTGTCTAGATAATTAATATTTGTTTTGTTTCGAACACGGTGGCAATAATGCTTTTAATTTATATGTTAATTTCTTTCATCTGATTTATCATGCGAGTATGCTCCTGCCCAAATATAATCGTGAATTGTTTGCTTGCAGGTCACCTGTGTTTCAGGTGCTGTGCTAGCTGCCAGTGATACTAACAAGATACTGTGTTTTGTTGCAGTTGCCTATAAAAATGCCTTCTTCCACTAGACTAACAAATCCTCAAGAATGGCACTTATTCCCAAATACCTATTTGGGTGCATTTGAGATCTACAGGAAAGCCAGTGTGGGAGGATACTCTAGGATTAGGGAGAGTCACAGAAGATGCAGATGAAGTAGAGGCCAAAGAATGAGATAATTTTTGATGCTTATTTTACATTTGAAGGGAGGTCATTTTTCAATGGAGGAGAGAAAGAGTAAAAATCGCATTTTAAGAGAATAGGCTGGCTGCAGTGTGGAGGATGTATTAGCTGAAGATGAGTGGATACAATCTGAAATTTCCTGGTTCTGGAAAGTCTTTGCAGTTTATGAGTCTCAGGAAAAGTAAGGAATGTTTAAACAAATTTAAAACAAACACAAATAAATGATTTGTGAATGTTTTCACATGACTGCAAAATGATTCCATTACCTGTGACTCTTACTTCAAATTTTAAAAAAAAAGGCCAAATAGCAGTGACACTACTCTTGCCCACTCCTACCTTATAAACCCTAGTGCCACTACTGCTGGACACCACTGTTTCAGCAAATAAGGAAACATGTAAGACAAAGAAAATAGGAGTCGGCATTAAAGGCTTATTTTGGTCAAGTGGTGACAAGTTGGACATTAATAATAATACACTAATTAATCGAAATACACTAGCATTTTATAATGCTACGTGTTCCTAATAATACTTAAAAGACAAAAGTTCTTTAGATTACAATGATGGGTAGTTGTAATCTAAGAGGGGAAATATAATAGATTATATTTTAAAAATTTATTTCAATAAACTAAATTTTAGTGAGTTCTATGTTAATATATCTAAATCATTATATTTCCTCTTTTTAAATGTATGTGTGTTTATAGAGCAGTATTTTTAAAAACTTCATACATAAAGGAGAAAAATATTGGAAATGGTGAGTCAAATAGCCTAGAAAAAGCATAACTAGAAACAGGATGATTATACACAATAAGAAAGGAAAGAGAAAGGGGAGTTGAATACTGTGTTTTAAAACAATGACTTAGCCATATGTCTTAAAAAGGGAGCTTACTGCAAAAGTTTGATTTCTCTTCTCCTAGGATATAGAATTTCTAAGTGGCCCTTAAATTTAAATAATACAATAAATCATACATAATTTGTAATAATGCTGACATGCAATATCAGTATATAATAGAGATAGCATAATACATAATGAAATGTTAGGTAAGGGAGACTTAAAACATGTATCATTTATGATGGTGATATTAGGTTATAAAAATTCAAAACCTATGTAAAAG